GAAAAATTGCAACACATTTTTATTCTTAAAAAAATATAAAAAAAAAAATTTCTTTCTTCAAAATCATCTCATGGGCCGGATTAAACCCGTTTGCGGGCCTGATCCGGCCCGCGGGCCGTACGTTTGACACCCCTGGTTTACAGTCTAACCAGACACCTAGGTATTTGTAGTTGTTCACATACTCTAGGTCAGACCCGCCGAGAGTAGTGATTCTAGTCGGGTGGGCGGGTGCAAGCAGCGTTCGGTTGAAGAGCGTGCATTTAGTTTTACTAGTGTTTAAGAGCAGTTGGAGGCTACGGAAGGAGTGTTGTATGGCGTTGAAGCTTGTTTGGAGGTTTGTTAACACAGTGTCCAATGAAGGGCCAGATGTATACAAAATGGTGTCGTCCGCATAGAGGTGGATCCGAGCGCCACCAGCAGCAAGAGCGACATCATTGATATACACAGAGAATAGAGTCGGCCCGAGATTTGAACCCTGTGGCACCCCCATAGAGACGGCCAGAGGTCCAGACAACAGGCCCTCCGATTTGACACATTGAACTCTATCTGAGAAGTAGTTGGTGAACCAGGCAAGGCAGTCATTAGAGAAACCAAGGCTATTTAGTCTGCCAATAAGAATGCGGTGGTTGACAGAGTCGAAAGCCTTGGCCAGGTCGATGAAGACTGTCTTTTATCGATCGCGTTTATAATATCGTTTAGGACCTTGAGCGTGGCTGAGGTGCACCCATGACCAGCTCGGAAACCGGATTGCATAGCGGAGAAGGTACGGTGGGATTCGAAATGGTCGGTGATCTGTTTGTTAACTTGGCTTTCAAATACTTTCGAAAGGCAGGGCAGGATGGATATAGGTCTATAACAGTTTGGATCTAGAGTGTCACCCCCTTTGAAGAGGGGGATGACCGCTGCAGCTTTTCAATCTCTGGGGATCTCAGACGTTACGAAAGAGAGAGAGTAAAGTGGTTTCTTGCATCAAACAACACAACAACATTTTCAGTCACCTCCTTGTCTGAAGGACAAGTGGATAAACAGGTTAATGTCAAGCCCTGCATGTTTTTTTTCAAAAGTCTCATGGAATGTAGGCCTACATTGAACACCACACATTGGCTGCTACTGTAGGCTGAATGATAGAACAGCTACAGTGGGGAGAACAAGTATTTGATACACTGCCGATTTTGCAGGTTTTCCTACTTACAAAGCATGTAGAGGTCTGTAATTTTTATCATAGGTACACTTCAACTGTGAGAGACGGAATCCAAAACAAAAATCCAGAAAATCACATTGTATGATTTTTAACTAATTAATTTGCATTTTATTGCATGACATAAGTATTTGATACATCGGAAAAGCAGAACTTAATTTTTGGTACAGAAACCTTTGTTTGCAATTACAGAGATCATACGTTTCCTGTAGGTCTTGACCAGGTTTGCACACACTGCAGCAGGGATTTTGGCCCACTCCTCCATACAGACCTTCTCCAGATCCTTCAGGTTTTGGGGCTGTCGCTGGGCAATACGGACTTTCAGCTCCCTCCAAATATTTTCTATTGGGTTCAGGTCTGGAGACTGGCTAGGCCACTCCAGGACCTTGAGATGCTTCTTACGGAGCCACTCCTTAGTTGTCCTGGCTGTGTGTTTCGGGTCGTTGTCATGCTGGAAGACCCAGCCACGATCCATCTTCAATGCTCTTACTGAGGGAAGGAGGTTGTTGGCCAAGATCTCGCGATACATGGCCCCATCCATCCTCCCCTCAATACGGTGCAGTCGTCCTGTCCCCTTTGCAGAAAAGCATCCCCAAAGAATGATGTTTCCACCTCCATGCTTCACGGTTGGGGTGGTGTTCTTGGGGTTGTACTCATCCTTCTTCTTCCTCCAAACACGGCGAGTGGAGTTTAGACCAAAAAGCTCTATTTTTGTCTCATCAGACCACATGACCTTCTCCCATTCCTCCTCTGGATCATCCAGATGGTCATTGGCAAACTTCAGACGGGCCTGGACATGCGCTGGCTTGAGCAGGGGGACCTTGCGTGCGCTGCAGGTTTTTAATCCATGACGGCGTAGTGTGTTACTAATGGTTTTCTTTGAGACTGTGGTCCCAGCTCTCTTCAGGTCATTCACCAGGTCCTGCCGTGTAGTTCTGGGCTGATCCCTCACCTTCCTCATGATCATTGATGCCCCACGAGGTGAGATCTTGCATGGAGCCCCAGACCGAGGGTGATTGACCGTCATCTTGAACTTCTTCCATTTTCTAATAATTGCGCCAACAGTTGTAGCCCATCCCAGCCTTGTGCAGGTCTACAATTTTATCCCTGATGTCCTTACACAGTTCTCTGGTCTTGGCCATTGTGGAGAGGTTGGAGTCTGTTTGATTGAGTGTGTGGACAAATCAAATCAAATGTTATTGGCCACATGCGCCGAATACAACAGGTGCAGACATTACAGTGAAATGCTTACTTACAGCCCTTAACCAACAGTGCATTTATTTTAAAAAATAAAACAACAACAAAAAAAGAGCAGAAGTAAAATAAAATAACAGTAGGGAGGCTATATATACAGGGGGGTACCGGTGCAGAGTCAATGTAAAGTGACTATGCATAAATAATTAACAGAGTAGCAGCAGCGTAAAAGGATGGGGTGGGGGGGCAGTGAAAATAGTCCGGGTAGCCATGATTAGCTGTTCAGGAGTCTTATGGATTGGGGGTAGAAGCTGTTGAGAAGTATTTTGGACTTAGACTTGGCACTCCGGTACCGCTTGCCGTGCGGTAGCAGAGAGAACAGTCTATGACTAGGGTGGTTGGAGCCTTTGACAATTTTGAGGGCTTTCCTCTGACACCGCCTGGTATAGAGGTCCTGGATGGCAGGAAGCTTGGCACCAGTGATGTACTGGGCCGTCCGCACTACCCTCTGTAGTGCCTTGCGGTCGGAGGCCAAGCAGTTGCCATATCAGGCGGTGATGCAACCAGTCAGGATGCTCTCGATGGTGCAGCTGTAGAATTTTTTGAGGATCTGAGGACCCATGCCAAATATTTTCAGTCTCCTGAGGGGGAATAGGCTTTGTCGTGCCCTCTTCACGACTGTCTTGGTGTGTTTGGACCATGATAGTTTGTTGGTGATGTGGACACCAAGGAACTTGAAGCTCTCAACCTGTTCCACTACAGCCCCGTCGATGAGAATGGGGGCGTGCTCAGTCCTCTTTTTTTTCCTGTAATCCACAATCATCTCATTTGTCTTGGTCACGTTGAGGGAGAGGTTGTTGTCCTGGCACCACACGGCCAGGTCTCTGACCTCCTCCCTATAGGCTGTCTCATCGTTGTCGGTGATCAGGCCTACCACTGTTGTGTCGTCGGCAAACTTAATGATGGTGTTGGAGTCGTGCCTGGCCATGCAGTCAGGTGTCTTTTATACAGGTAACGAGTTCAAACAGGTGCAGTTAATACAGGTAATGAGTGGAGAAAAGGAGGGCTTCTTAAAGAAAAACGAACAGGTCTGTGAGAGCCGGAATTCTTACTGGTTGGTAGGTGATCAAATACTTATGTCATGCAATAAAATGCAAATTAATTACTTAAAAATCATACAATGTGATTTTCTGGATTTTTGTTTTAGATTCCGTCTCTCACAGTTGAGGTGTACCTATGATAAAAATTACAGACCTCTACATGCTTTGTAAGTAGGAAAACCTGCAAAATCGGCAGTGTATCAAATACTTGTTCTCCCCACTGTATTTCCATGTTAAAATGTTATGGGATGCATTTTCTCCATTGTTTTTGATGGTAGCCCTTTCTGGTAGGCCTACATTATGATCAAATAGCCACAGTAGCCTACTTTGCCACTGTTAAAACTGTAAAGTGGGTACAGCCTCAGTGTTCACAGTAAACGCGCGCTGGAAGTTGCACCGAATTTTCACAACGTTCAAGTTTGCGCTCAGCAGACCTGAAATTTGCTCAGTGCCAAAAAACAGGGAACATTGCCCATAACATTATGCAGCCACCACTATGCTTCAAAATATCGACAGTGGTACTCAGTAAAGTGTTGTATTGGATTTGCCCTAACATAAAACTGTATTCAGGACGAAAAGTTAATTGCTTTGCCACATTTTTTGCAGTATTACTTTAGTGCATTTGTAAAGGATGTCACGCTGCTTGCTTAGCGAGTACCAGTACCTCACAAACACTGGTGACCGCCCTCCTCAAGTGTCTTAGCTAGCTAATGAGGCGACGGAAGCGGGACACTTAAGGCTGAGGAGTACGTTTCACACGTCCCCATGTGTAACACCTTGTTGCAAACAGGATGCATGTTTTGGAATATTTTTTACAGGCTTCTGTACAGGCTTGCTTCTTTTCACTCAATTTGGTTAGTATTGTGGAGTAACTACAATGTTGCAGATCCATCCTCAGTTTTCACCTATCACAGCCATTAACTCTGTAACTGTTTTAAAGTCACCATTGGCCTCATGGTGAAATCCCTGAGCCGTTTCCTTCCTCTCCGGCAACTGAGTTTGAAAGGATGCCTGTACCTTTGTAGTGACTGGGTGTATTGATACACCATCCAAAGTGTAATTAATAACTTCACCATGCTCAAAGGGATATTCAATGTCTGCTTTATTTTTTTACCCATCTGCCAATAGGTGCCCTTCTTTGCAAGGCATTGAAAAACATTCCTGGTCTTTGTGGTTGAATCTGTGTTTGAAAATCACTGCTCGACTGAGGGACCTTACAGATAATTGTATGTGTTGGGTACAGAGATAAGGTAGTCATTCAAAAATCCTGTTAAACACTTATTGCACACGGAGTGAGGCCATGCAACTTATTAAGCAAATGTTTACTCCTAAACTTATTTAGGCTTGCCATAACAAAGGGGTTGAATACTTATTGACTCAAGACATTTCAGCTTTTTATTTTTAATTAATTTGTACACATTTCAAAAAACATAATTCCACTTTGACATTATGGGGTAGTGTGTACACCAGTGACAAAAAAATCTAAATGTTATACATTTTAAATTCAGGCTGTAACACAACTAAATGTGGAAAAAGTAAATGGGTGTGAATACTGTAGACTTACGTTGACCTAAAAGTCAGAAAATAGGCAGATACCAGGTTATCTACCTAGGGACATATTTGTATATATGAACATAATATTCTCTTAGTCATGTTTAACATCTGGATACTACAGGTTCTGATATAATTTGGGTATAACAAGGTTATATGGTTGATCTGCGAGCAAGACGAAATAGAAAGCTGACCTGAGGCAAATAAAATCTCCCACTATAAAGCACCTACTTCCATCAGTAAAATCCCTATTGCATAAAATAGGAACAATGTTATCTTTCCAGTTCATATAAAAATATAAGCTAAGGTCCCTGCAGGACTATTGCAAGAGATGATTGTAAAGACACTTGATGCGTAACTCAAGGAATATCTCTTTTTTTCCAAAATGTCTCCTAACAAACACACATTTTTCTCAGTTCAGGACAATGTGCAATCTACAATTGTGGGCTTGGGGGTGGGGTAGTCCAATGGATATTTTTGATGGGGCAGTGGGGTGATTTATTTCCATTTCCCCCCAAAACCAGGGCTGCTATTTGCTGGGTCCTTTGAGAGTGTTGAAATAGTATTTCAGAGTTTCCTCGATGTTGGGCACGCCAAAGTTTTGAGCTGCAAAGATGCCTGTGCAAGTCCCAAGGACCACGCCCAAAACCGCAGAGGATCGCAGCCTAGACACGACATACCCTGCCAAGAAGCCCTTAAGGAAAGGAGAGGCCAGCACACTGCCACCCTGGAACAACAAAATGTACAGTAACCCTCATGTTAGAAACAAACACAACACACAGGAATGGCGTTGCTCGTCTGAGTCTCATCTGACAGTTTGACAAGATGTATGGAAAACCTGTGCACTATGCATCCATGCACACAAACAGACTTGATCTATAGCCTAATAACTACAGAAAAGAGAGGGCTTGTATGAGGTCATGTTTGTGTGAAAACACAGCCTGAGGCTAGGGTGTCCAATCCAAAACACATATTTGACCAATTGGTAAAATAATATGTTAATTGTGTAGATAATCCTCTAAGAAAACCAATGGTCCAAACTTCATGTCTCCATCATCATACATTCAAACGTTGAACTTGTAATCTTTCTTCTCAAATCCGCAGGACATAAAAACAATAGAGGTAAGGTGGATATCGATTTGGATACATGACGTAGTATTTTCATATGTTAGTATACACTTTAAATATTAATTTGAAATTCCTGTTCTTTTTCGAAGATCTCTCACCAAAACAAGCGTTTCTTTGTGAAATGTCAACGGAGAACTGAGAGTATATCAAACATTTTATTTTCAAAGCCTTTTACTATTAATTCAGCTTGTGTCATGCTAATTTAGCTTTTTGCGACCCGCGGAAACAACTTTGAATACAAAGACCACAAAATGTAAAATCCTCAAAAGTTGTTACGAGAAACCTGCACCATTATGTCAACAGAGCTCGGTGCTTATAATCGCATGTATTAGGTTTACGAAATCCAACTTTTTGGATATAATGTTAATGATATGTTAGAGAAAGACCACACTGAGCGATTCAGAACATGAATTATCATATTTGTTTTGGTCAAATGTATTTTATAACATAAGGAAGTTAAATTTCATCACCAAAGCGCGTTTTCACCCACTCCTAATAATAATAATTAAAAAATTGCAAAAATGCATTTTAGCCTATTAATTGATTGAAGTAGATGTAGCGCTTGAACTGATACTACAGCTTTACCTTAATGCTGGAGTGAAACCTGCTTTTATAAGCTCAATAATTGCGCAACAATTCTAAATTTAATTGCCTAATTAATTGTTTGAAACCTGAACATTTACTACATATTATGAGGTATGTTTTTACCTTGCTTCAAAGAAATCTAGCCAAAATCCAACCAAAAGTGCAGCAGGCAATTATTTTATAAAGACTTCCATATGCCATTGAAATTATTAGCCTATTCTCTCATGTTCTATTGGTTTTCAAATGTCTTTCATTGTCCATTAGCCAAAGGCACAATCCTAGTCATATTAGCAACCCATGCTAGTTGTTGCATCTTTATCTCCCCTCTTTCTAAATCTCTAACAGATATTTTCATCTCTGTATCATGAAACCGCTCGTATGTGCGGTGCGCTTTTGCCAATGGTGTTTTCCCACTAATTGCATTATGGAACAAACATTAGCTAGTAGTCTACTTCCTTGTACACATTGCTGCGCTTTAAATGTAAAATGTTAAGCTAAACATTCTGATCTGTTGCCTGAGCCTCATTGCTTTTTAATGTTTTTTTTGGATGTAGCCTTGGCCTAATGGTTGTATTAATTTGGGATCCATCTTCCCACAACTGTCCCAGAGTCTGTTTGGCTATTTCTTTCTCGCACAGAACGACAAGCTTAGCTGACCAACATAATAGGTAAATGTTTTTACTATGGGGGATAGTAGATTGACATTACTCCTCTTGTTGGCTGAGGAAAAGTAAATGTGGACAGTTATTCTAACATCATCAAATTGGCATTCGAATTCAGTAAGAAGGACACACGTCGTTGCATCCTCGAGTTGCATGTTCTGTTCAAATGAATTAGGCCTACCATAACCTAAATGTGATTTCAGTCATTCTGAGCACCGTGGGTGGACGCCCTAATCAGGTTAAGCACCCAATGCATATGGGTCCGGTAAATTTCTTAAATGTCCAGTAAATTAAAATGCTGCCGGTCAAATGTCTGGCGCCATATTTTCGGAAACCCTGGTGTGTGTGTGTCGGACATCTGACTGCTCACCTGTGGGATCCCAGCCTGTACTTCCTTCTCCACACGCTTCTGAATGTCCTCTAGCTGGTCCTTGAGCTCTGCCAGGTCCTTTAGCTGTCTCAATGACTAGTAGTACATGTCAAAAGTAAATTTAGGACAGCAAGCAAGGCAAGTTATTGACACATATAAAACATGATTACAGTTGATATTTGAGTCTTATATTAATATGTGTTGTTGTTGGTCATATGAGTGCCTGCTGATATCTGAGCTAGATCTACACTCAAGTGATTCTTTAGTCCAAAACAGGGGCGGTGTGTTCATTAGGGCGATATGGGCGACGCACTGCCAAACGGGAAAAGGAAGGGATTTTTTTTCTAATCAATTATATCACGGCAACAGTAGTTATCAGTGTTCTAATCTAGACGTCTGATCTGCCACTAAATGTCCAATCAGGCTAAAGTCGTGCTTCAAATGGCCCCGCCCCTTTTGGGGCGATTTCAGTCAGGTTGAAAATCGCCCCAGAAGTCTCTCATAGACTCTCATGTAAAATCTTTTTTTTTTCAAATATCAGAGCTTTCAATACAATCTCTATGGGTTCCGGGAGGGCTTGCACTTACGCGCTTTCGTCATACGTAACATAACCATGAACGTAACTAAGAAAAGAGCGGGTAGCAGCGTCAATCAATTCACGTACTACTGTCAAGATGGCTAGCGTTCAGTGCAACTCGATTGTCTCTTTGAAAGAAGTTCCTTTTTGTCAGCGAACAAATCAAGATAAATTGGCAACGAAACAATTAGGACCTCCCAGACCAAATGTAATAATTCAACAGGTTTCTACTAAAGGGGGAAAGTCCTACACCCGAGGATTTTCCAAAAATTGGTACGAACGAAAAACCTGGCTAGCAGGCTGCGATGTAGCTAATGCAGTCTTCTGCTACCCCTGCTTACTCTTTCCACCCTGAAGGCGGCACGGCAGACAGCACCGCTTGGACAGCGACTGGTGTAACGGACATGCACCATCTTTCAGAAAAGATTAAGAAACATGAGCTGTCAAAGACCCACATGGATAGCTGTTTGAGATTGTCTGCTTTGGGGAGAGTGAACATTGCCACTCAACTGGATGAGGGATACAGGCTAGCTGTCCGCCGCCACAACGATGAGGTTAGCAAGAACCGCCACATCCTCAGCCGGCTAATCCAGTGTGTGAAGTTTTGCGGAGTGTTTGAGTTAGCTTTGCGAGGCAAAGATGAAACTGAGGGCTCCACCAACCCTGGTATTTTTCTTGGACTTGTCAACTTTGTGGCACAATTAGATGAGGTGTTTTATGGAAATGCATATTGTTTATGCAGTGTTGAGGAATGTGAAAGAACACCCTTGATTATTTTTACTGTGATAACTTATTTTGCTTTTGTAAGCCAACACTTTTGAGATCAGTCAATAAATGCTTCTGGTATTGACTTATATGCTGCCCCTGTCTTCATGTTGTTGCTGGACATATCTTTTTTTAAAATGTGTGTAGGTCACCTAAATCATCAGAAAAATTGCCCCCCCCCTGAGAATTTTTTCAGGAGCCGCAACTGGTCCAAAATATGTGTCCCAAAACAATAAAATATTCCATCCAAATCTAAATTCTTCCTGTTACTGAGTCACATTATATTGTCTACGAAATCCATTCCTCGGCTATACTAATGCTTGAATTTAGTTAACGTCTTGATCAACTATTGATTACTCTGGACTAGTGTGCAAAGCTTTGACTGTTCAAACAAAGATATGTATAACTACCCCAAGCTAGTTAATCTGTGTCGTTTTCAACGGGAGCAAATGAGGCATAGTAGGCCGAACAAGTAAGGAGGTGGGCAGAGCCAAGCACGAGCTAGAGAGATTCTATTGGCGCGATCAAGCATGTATTTGCATATTTCAGTTAGAGAACGCCTTTTCTGTGAAGTGCGCGTGTGCAATAACTCAATTAGCCCCTGCACTCCTTGTAAACAACGCCATTTTTTAAAACTTTGGCAAACGGTCACGTTTACAAAAATGTTGCCGGCCAATGGGCTTCCTCTCCTCACCATATTTGGTGGGGAGTTCAAATTCCAACCGGATGCTTCTGATTTATACATCTGGTGAAACATCGGTCTCCTTGTTCTATCCGTAGCTCAGTCAAGGAAAATTGGTATTCTACCGGTAAAAAATATGGCTTATAAGTATCGTGTTTCCAGTCTACATTCTCACAATAATATCCAGCACAATTGCTAGCTATACAGACTGCAACAGTCACCAATAGCCCAAGCAGGTCAGGTTGCTATATGAATGTAATGTTTAGTAAACGTTAACTAGCTCGCATAGCTATGCTAGCTTGACAGTTTCTTAGCAAAAACATAAAGCTAGCAAGCTAAATAACGGTTAGTTGACTATCTACACGTAACGTTACCTACACCGAACATACCTACAACTATATAATAAGCAACTACTACAACCGCGAATACAAACTCGGATTTTTAACTCTCCATAGGCTAAAGTTTACGGCACTAACCTTGTCGTCCGCCATGTCTTTAACCAATGCTGGTGCTACTGATTTATCACTGGGCTCGATTTTCTTCCCTGCTGAAAGATGTGTGACTAACTCATGTGCCGAGTGCTGACTGTTTTTACTCGGCTTACTTTCTGGAGCGACATCGCTGTTATATGCATTCTTTACAATGTGACAATATCAATGCGTTTTAAAACGTAGGTACTATCTTTATGACATGATTGGAATTGAGGCCAGTAGCGCTGTGCACCGGTAACACACAGTCACATGACACAGCAGGCGTAAAATTAGCTTTTTGTATTCGCAAGTAAAATAAACTGAATTGAAACAATGAATTAATTATAATCGGGCAGTCTTTTGGGGGATTACATGGGGAATATTTGCATAATGCTATGTAACTGAATGTCTAGAATTACAACAATATTCAAAATTCTAAGAGTTGGCCAAAATACGTGGCTCTGCCTGATACCATCAGAGGAGCTTTGTACATCAAGAGGGGTTGTATTCCACACGCGAGCTGGGCGGTGCCACAGCAACCGAAGTGGAGGCTTCATACACTGCTCAAAAAAATAAAGGGAACACTTAAACAACACAATGTAACTCCAAGTCAATCACACTTCTGTGAAATCAAACTGTCCACCTAGGAAGCAACACTGATTGACAATACATTTCACATGCTGTTGTGCAAATGGAATAGACAACAGGTGGAAATAATTAGCAAGACACCCCCAATAAAGGACTGGTTTTGCAGGTGGTGACCACAGACCACTTCTCAGTTCCTATGCTTCCTGGCTGATGTTTTGGTCACTTTTGAATGCTGGCGGTGCTTTCACTCTAGTGGTAGCATGAGACGGAGTCTACAACCCACACAAGTGGCTCAGGTAGTGCAGCTCATCCAGGATGGCACATCAATGCGGGCTGTGGCAAGAAGGTTTGCTGTGTCTGTCAGTGTAGTGTCCAGAGCATGGAGGCGCTACCAGGAGACAGGCCAGTACATCAGGAGACGTGGAGGAGGCCGTAGGAGGGCAACAACCCAGCAGCAGGACTGCTACCTCCGCCTTTGTGCAAGGAGGAGCAGGAGGAGCACTGCCAGAGCCCTGCAAAATGACCTCCAGCAGGCCACAAATGTGCATGTGTCTGCTCAAACGGTCAGAAACAGACTCCATGAGGGTGGTATGAGGGCCCGATGTCCACAGGTGGGGGTTGTGCTTACAGCCCAACACCGTGCAGGATGTTTGGCATTTGCCAGAAAACACCAAGATTGGCAAATTCGCCACTGGCGCCCTGTGCTCTTCACAGATGAAAGCAGGTTCACACTGAGCACGTGACAGACGTGACAGAGTCTGGAGACGCCGTGGAGAACGTTCTGCTGCCTGCAACATCCTCCAGCATGACCGGTTTGGCGGTGGGTCAGTCATGGTGTGGGGTGGCATTTCTTTGGGGGGCCGCACAGCCCTCCATGTGCTCGCCAGAGGTAGCCTGACTGCCATTAGGTACCGAGATGAGAACCTCAGACCCCTTGTGAGACCATATGCTGGTGCGGTTGGCCCTGGGTTCCTCCTAATGCAAGACAATGCTAGACCTCATGTGGCTGGAGTGTGTCAGCAGTTCCTGCAAGAGGAAGGCATTGATGCTATGGACTGGCCCGCCCGTTCCCCAGACCTGAATCCAATTGAGCACATCTGGGACATCATGTCTCGCTCCATCCACCAACGCCACGTTGCACCACAGACTGTCCAGGAGTTGGCGGATGCTTTAGTCCAGGTCTGGGAGGAGATCCCTCAGGAGACCATCCGCCACCTCATCAGGAGCATGCCCAGGTGTTGTAGGGAGGTCATACAGGCACGTGGAGGCCACACACACTACTGAGCCTCATTTTGACTTGTTTTAAGGACATTACATCAAAGTTGGATCAGCCTGTAGTGTGGTTTTCCACTTTAATTTTGAGGGTGACTCCAAATCCAGACCTCCATGGGTTGATACATTTGATTTCCATTGATAATTTTTGTGATTTTGTTGTCAGCACATTCAACTATGTAAAGAAAAAAGTATTTAATAAGATTATTTCATTCATTCAGATCTAGGATGTGTTATTTTAGTGTTCCCTTTATTTTTTTGAGCAGTGTATATACATTCATTGAGTGGAGGTGAGAAGAGGATGATGCAAGCAGACTGAACGATGACGGGCTGAGCCATCAAATCAAATTAAATCACATTTTATTTGTCACATGCGCCGAATACAACAGGTGTAGACCTTACCGTGAAATGCTTACTTACAAGCCGTTAACCAACAATACAGTTCAAGAATTAGAGTTAAGAAAATATTTACTAAATAAACTAAAGTATAAAAATTAAAGGAAAAGTTACACAATAAAATAACAATAACGAGGCTATATACAGGGTGTACCGGTTCCGAGTCAATGTGCGGGGGTACAGGTTAGTCGAGGTAATTTGTACATGTAGGTAGGGGTAAAGTGACTATGTATAGATAATAAACAGCGAGTAGCAGCAGTGTAAAAACAAATGGCACAATGTAAATAGTCTGGGTGTCCATTTGATTAATTAATATGCAGCTGGGAGTTAGATTGTCTATGGATTTTACTGGCCATATGACAGATACAGTCATAGGCTCTCTATCTTACATTGCCTGAGCTTACTTACAACATAGCCCCTAACTTTTGCTCTGTTGATTTGTGGAGACCTCTGGTTGTACTGTGATAAGGATAATTTAACTGCCAGATTAATTTACATCATTTAGCAGATGCTCTTATCCAGATTGATTTAGTATAGTGAGTGCATACATTTTCATACTGGTCCCCCGTGGGAATCGAACCCACAATCCTGGCGTTGCAAGCACCATGCTCTACCAACTGAACTACACACTACAATTACACTGCAACATTGCATCTAGGGAAAAGAGATGGGTTTAGAAAAGCTGCAGCAACAGACCTTGCCTTCAAGGAAGCCTGCCTATGAAACACCCTGCCTCCCCTAACACCTCAGCGTAGAGATGCAGCCATTAAGAAAGTGAAGATTTACATGAAATCATCCTGTATTCTGTAATGTTGCTGGCGTTGCTATAAAAAGCACTCCCAAAGTTGCCCTCTCATATATTTTTAAGAGTAGGGCTTGACAGATGCAGGTTCATTCTGAGGGACAGATTTATGTCACTAATCTTCCTGAGACACCCCCTTTACACAGAGAGGCATCCCATCCCATCTCGAATTGAATTGAATCCTATTACGACTCCCTTGCTACACAAATACTAGATAGGCTACACCAGTCGATTTCACTCTTTGAGAAAGCGTATTTGTTTCGGTTTGTCTATTATTGCCCTGTTATTGGCCTCCATATTACTGTAGTAATGTATTTCTTCTAGAAAAGCATGCTTTTTGGGTCTGTTTGCTGGTCTGCACTGTGCCTTTGTCCTTAGTGCCTTTTCTCTGCCTCGGCAGTCTTTAAGGCACAGAGAGAGAGAGAGAGCCAGGAAACAACCAGAGAGGGAGGGAGAGAAAGAGAGAGTGTGTGAGAAAGAGAGGTAAGGTGTGGAGGGAAAGAGGAGGGGGAGTGGCGGAAGCTGCAGGCATCACTGAGCACAATACAAAGAGAGTGAAACGAAAGGCAGCAGCAGTGTGACAAACAGCATCCCTCCAGCACAGATAAAGAGATAAGAGTCGCAGGATAGAGAGAGAAAGAGATCATCAAGACAGGGAGGGAGAAGGGATTTTTTATTTTTTTTATTGCTTTTACTCAGAGAGTTCCGGACGGGGCTTGAACAGAGAGAAAGAGAGGGAGGGGAGAGAGTGACACAGAGAAAGAGTCAGACAGAGAAAGAGAGTGTGAATATTTGTAATCCTCTTGGCATGCGAGTGTGTCCCTGGACGCTTGGCGCTGTGTGCAGTTGTAGCGAGTGTGCGGGGAAGAGTTGTCCTGGCGGCATCAGGACATTTTGGACTGGAATGTGGTGCAGCTAAGCCAAGTGGCCAGGAAGGAAGGAACACCTCTCAGCATGCTGGGGAAGGATTACATGCTCGCCATCATCATAGTCAATTATGACGGTGAGTAAACACACAGACACACACAGTCCTAGGCTCCTCCAGACCTTTTTCTCTCCTCATCCCTTGTTCCTCACAGGGCGAGGAGGAGACGGCCGGCCGAGGAGGAGTAAGTACAGTAGGTGCTGGTCTGAGCTCATTATCTGATTCTCACTGGTAGACAGGCTCAACTACAGGTGCTGTGTCATGTAGGGCCGGCCAGGCATTCTGTCCCACACACTTTGAAGAGTGAACATGGAAATACATCATAATAATTTGGTGGGTGCTTATGTTTGTCCTGTTTCACAAATGTAAATGTGTTTTTTTCTCAGCTTGACGGCACGCGGATTCGAACTAGTGACCTTTCTGTTACTGGCCCAACAATCTAACCGCTAGGCCACCTGCCTGAAAACTTTGAAGGGTTATTAAGATTGAGTTAGGGGATTGTGTGTTTGTTGAGAGTTCAGGTGGTGAACTAGAGTGCTTCCATTAGACAAATAACATGTTGATCTATGGATCTTTTGTATTTAGCTTTGTATTAAAGGGATAGTTCACCCAAATTGCAAAATAACACATTGGTTTCCTTACCCTGTTAGCAGTCTATGGACAAGGTAAGACAGCAGATCATGCTTTGGTTTAGTTTCCCTGGCACTGTTTCCAAATGCTAACGTTTTAGCATTTGTGGCACAAATCCCATAGAGCTTGCCAGCTTGTAGTCCTAAAACCCGGAAATGAGATACCTCTAGTTCGTTCAGCCATCCCTATGGGGAAAATGAATGGAAAATAATAGGGTTTTGGGATAACTCCGAAAATAAGGTCTGAGGTTAACACAGGTTTAGGAGATCTTATACGTTTTGTTTTATGAGATAATATCAGTCAGTTAACCTGACCTTTAGGAATTATGAAGCATTTATGTGCTTTATGTGCTTGTTTAAAACAAATACATAAATGCTTCAAAATTTACAATGTGATGTTAGCTGATAAAGATTGTCTCATAGCACAAAACAAATAAGATCTCCTAAGCCTGTGTTTACAACAGACCTTATTTTCGGTATTTATCCAAAAACCCTCCAAAAACGTCATTCATTTTCCCATAGGCTTTGTCCAACGAACCATGGCGGAGTTAGTGCCTACAAATAAACTATTTCTCTCTATTCAAGTCATGGCACAAATCCAATTCAAGTCAATAGCATTTTTCGCGCATCATGTCCAAATCATTTGAAAGTATTTAA